TATTAAGATCGTTTTATTAAAGCGGGCTTAGTTAATATCATATGACAATAACTCACTTCTTTGGTTAGGAATCGGGCTTTCTGACTGACACGATGATTCGTTAATTATTTTGACTTTGATTATTTGTCACCATATTTCTTCTGTTTGGTATCTTTTTCGGCTCATGTTTATCCTCGAAGCAGTAGAATTAATTTAGCATTTCCTCTAATTACCTTCAACTTCCATATGAAATCGTTCCTCTTGTCTCATGGCCTTTGTCATTCAAATCTAACGTGACATTACTTACTATTTTTAAGGAAAAGTTGGTTGGAATGAATTCGTGATGTGGTCCCACCAGAAACCGAAGGAGGATTGCCGCATAGTTAATCTATTGAGCAAAACTGGGTTGCGAAAACTACCTTAGTGATATACCGTGATATGACTTTCCGTTTCGAGGAAAAGGTTGGTTGTAAGGAATTCATGATATGCTCTCACCGGAAATCGAATGAGAAATGCAGCGTAGTGAAGACTATTTTATTGTGAGAAGTAGTCCTCGGCTAACCGTCCTGCGACCTAGATGAACCTGTGCTAAGTTTTCGTCTTTACTGTGACCGACCTAATCAGAGCAAGAATGCATACTTTATGAAATAGAATAAAAATATGCTAAAGTTTTCTCTCGGCTTAGTATACTTTTGCTCTCTTTCATAAAGTATAGATTCTTGCTCTGTTGATCCCTGTCATAGTACAGTTGAAGGCTTAGCACGGGCTCGTCGAGGTCGCAGGACGGTGAGCCGAGGACATCTCTTGCACACCAAAAAAGTCTTCACTACGCAGCGCACCTTCTTCGGTTTCTGGTGCGACCACATCACGAATTCCCTCTAACCAATTTTTCCTACCAAATGGAAAGTCATGCCACATTTGATGTGGATTACAAAGTCCATGAGCCAGCGTTGTAATCACTCATTTACGGTTCTACTATATCTGATCCACACTTCGCTTCTATCCCCAGGCATTATGTCTATTATTAGTGTCACCCTTATATCTGAAATTACTGGCTAATCCGATTTTTTAGGAGGACAGCTTCGACAAGCTGTCAATGAATGAGCCATTACCACTGCCCCTTTAAATAACCCTCTAGATTGCACCCTCCTTCATTCAGCCCCCTACCTGGACTCGCATTCCGTTTGTGACATTCTGGAGCTGAGCTTCTATTTTGGCTCTTGCTTTACTTTGTATGAAATGCATTCTCAACTGCAGGTGGGTCGGTGAAATGACTAAGCTGTCGGAATTTCAACGGAAAGGTTGCTTGAAACGGACTCATGAATCGGCCTCACCGGAAACCGAATGTGGATTGGTGTGGATTTTAGCTCATTAGATTGTGCGAAGTAGTCCTTGGCTCAGTGTTATGCGACTCTAAGGAAATCCTCCCTCTGTTTCCGGTTAGATTATCCCACGAATCTCGTCTAACCAACTTTTCCTTTGATACGAAAAGTCACCTGATCATTATATCTCACTAAAGGAGTCTTGGAAACCAGGTTTTTTTTTGTCTTATTTATCTCTCAAGGATTCTTAATTTAGATTTATCCTCTCAATTTCATCTGGGATTTTTGGACCGGCTCATAAATGGCATCAATGTTTGCTTATTCTAACCGATTTTTTTTGCGCCCTTCATCAACTCGATCTTATCTTGTATTCTCTATTTTTTCCTTCACCTTCTGTTCTTAATCCCGCCTCGTATCAAACACTTCATCGAAATCACTCTTTTTTATTCGACGCATATGATGTACATTCGCTATCACCCAAATCAATCTTACTACATGGCTCAGGTTTGACATCGCGCGATCTGGATGAACGGCGCCGAGTGTTCGGCTCCAATGTGATTCCACCGAAACCGCCCAAGACCTTCCTTCAGCTGATGTGGGAGGCTGTCCAGGACTTTACTCTCATTCTCCTCATGATTGCTGCAGCGATATCTTTGCTCCTCTCCCTTTACATCAAATGTAAGTGTGAATATTCATATTGGAGAAATTTTCACCGTCAACCATGTAAAATCCGACTGCAGAGATGTTGTTTGGCTAATCTCTAGTGACCTTGAGTAAGGTACCTGTTGGCATCATTTCATGCGTCATTGCAGATCAGCTCCACATGATGGAGCCTTAAAGTTTATGTAATTCTTGACTTTTTGCTCTATACTACCACTTGGTGTAAGACATAAAAACACATGCTCAAACTTTGGCTGCCTGTTTGTATTAACGCCTACTTGTAAACTAGTACTGCTATCGGGTATCCACTTTTGCTTTTTTTGTTTTACCCTCGCCATATCATTTTTTCTTCAACCAGCACTAACCGCTTCAGTTGTTCGAGACCCGTTATAATGGTCTCCTAGAGTGACGTTAGTTATTATCCTATAGATGCACTCTACAGCTGAGTGTATATTCATTAAAGGCTATTTCGGTAACGGTTGT